GCAGTATTCGATTACAAAATAGGAGAAATCAGAATCTGCGTGGTGACATAATTTTTTCCCACCACCTTAGTTCTTCCTGGATGATGTGCAATTGGCTTGGTTCCATTCAAGGAGATGCTTTAAACAATATGTACTGAATTGAACTAATCGTCCGGGATGATAGGGATATCAGCCCGAATGATCAAGTTATTTTTCCATCATCCATACATCCATTCAGGGCAATATTTTGGATGATATTCGTCATTTTGTGCTAATCATTATGGACGATTATGAGAGCTTCCTAGAACAAAATTTTCATCGTCCAGCATCCATCCAGGGCAATATGTTGGACGATATTTGACGGATTGAACTAATCGTACATGATGGTATACTATCATCCTAGACGATATGAACAAATTACCTTCTGATTGTCCCAAATTGTCCTGACTGATTGAGTTAAATTTATACTAATCGTATAGGATGATATTCAGATCGTCCTAGATGATAATACCAGTTTATTATAATTAAGAGCTATTCTAAAGCTCTTCTATATAAGACCTCTTATTTTACCCAAGAATGTATCATTTTCTATTGTCTTGACCTAAGAGAGCCTGGACAAGAGGGAGAGAAAGGGAGAGAGAGAGAGAGAGAGAGAGAGAGAGAGAGGATCTTGTAAGGGGGAGTTTGTGAGATGTTTTACAAAGGTTCCTCCAAGTAAGGATCTGAGTCGTCTTCTCTGGTCATTGTCCTTAGTTCCTTGGAGGTTCGAGAGAAGTCTACTTCAGCAATTGATCAAGGTTCTCTTCCTGCTTCAGAAGAAAGAGAAAAGAGTCGGGTTCTCTGCCTCACCAGTGTCGGTGAAAAGGAAGTTTGTAAAGGCTTCTCTGCCTTGCTGTGGGACCAAAAGGAGAGTCACTGAGTTTAGTGCAATACCAGAAGGAGAGGCTCCAGGGAGCAGATGTAGGTCAAGTTGACCTAACCATTATAAATTTATGTGTTCTTTATTAATGATTTCATGTATTTAATTTTCGTACTTCATTTTATTTGTGATGAATTTTGGTTTGGTTTAAGTTGGTGTTTTTTATTGAGAAATTTTTAAAATATACCAATTCACCCCCCTCCCATCCCCTCTTGGTTAGCCTTAAGCTAGTTCATAAGGGCTTAACATTCCTAACAAACTTTCAGGAAGGAGGAGCATAGGATTTCAAAAATTTTCCAGTGAGGGACCTTTGTTGAGATAGCCTTAATGATCTTATAATAGATTAAGTTAGGGGTGCTATGAATCCCAACAAAGTGTCTGTTATTCCTTTCTTGCCAGAGAAAATAAACTGAGCAGCAGATCACAAAAAATAGAAATTCTTCTCATAAGAGCTAAAATGTTGAACATCATCAAAAAATTCAAAAAGTTGCAGCATAGAAGGCTTAAATTGAAAAACATCAAAATATGATAGAAGAAAAGACAAAATTATAAAAGAGAAATCACTCTGAAACATTAAATGCATAATACTTTCCTCCTCCTTCAAGCAAAGAGAGCAAGGGCATGTATCTGAATATTCCTTTTGGCTAACACATCTGCTATTTTTAAACTATCACGATTCACCAGACAAGCAAAAGTTCAAAATCTAAGGGCTGACTTTTTATGCCATATAAACTTGTGTTAGAGAACTTGAGGAAAAAATACATTTTAAAAGTTTTGAAGCAAGGAATATCAACTCATTTCCAAACATTAGTAGTAGATGGGTGGTTCTAGATTAAAATAAAAGAAATGTTATGAATAGCTAGAGGAGGGAAAAAGTCCGGCAGCTTCCAGGTGCCAGGAGAAATTAACTCTTGCACAGCGGCGAAACCTTGGGCTGGTTGCTACATGAAATCAAAAACTGCCTTACTATTAACCCAAAGGTCCCAAAACATAGATAACTTACAGATAACAACATCAACATG